AGCGCTGGGCTCCAGGAAGGCTGGTATTAGGAGCACCCAGCAACTCCGTGGGAGAGAGACATGGTGGCGAGAGTCCTCGGACACCCCACAACCATGGCCAACTGTGCCCCACCCAGGAGCTCTGGTGCTTCAGGCCTGCAGTTCAAAACCACCAGTTGTCCCTCGGGAAAAAGACGAGGCTTTCTACACCTGACAAGAGTGATAGCCTGGGAAATTACAGGGCGGTTTTCCCTGTCCTGTAGGGACACTGCGAAGTGAGATCGACTGCATTGAGTTTGGTTCGAGTTTGTTTTGAACCAGGGTGTCCAAACTACTGGGTGGGGCGAGATGAGTCTTTTCAGCACACAGGGCTGGGCCTGAGTGGACAACTGCAGGCCCAGCATGGAACTAGGCAGCCTCCCTCACTACTGAACCAGCAGCCGGTGACCACAGGACCCCGGGCTACAGCCCCACAGGGCTTTCCAGGCTACAGTCTTCCACAGCGGATCACCAGGTCTGTCTTCCAAAGCACCTCTGAGTGGGCTGGAAAGGCCAACCTTTCAAGGAAAAACTAATTGTGCTACCCAGGGACACCCACTAATGCCACCCAGGACAAAAACTCACCGCCAGAGTGGATTCCCACCCACAGCGACTCTCGAGGCATGACAGAAATGCCTCTGTGGATTTCTGAGACGGTAGCTCCTTACAAGAGCAGACAGCCTCATCTTTCTTCCGCCCAGTAGCCTGATGGGTTTGAACCGCTGACCTTGGGGTTAACAGCTCAGTGTGCGGCCCACCACGACACCAGGGCTCCTTCCTCACGCCACACTCAGAGATGAGCCTACATGTCAGAGCTGGAACGACCCGTAGGCACAGATCTGCACGGCCTTGCCGCTGGCACTCTCTCTTAGACATGGCACCAAGAACACGAAGTGACAAACGGAAACATTGGCAAGCTAATCACACCAAAATCAAGGTTGGGTTGTTTTTTGTTGTTGTTGTCGTCAGAATAAACAGCAAAAAAGGTAAAAAAGTCAATCTAAAATACATCAACATGCAAAAATAAGAGAAAAAAAGGAGACAACTTTTGTAGCTCTACCTGACAAGGGACTTGCACCAGTGGGCCTCAGAGAGTCCATGTGGAAGGGGTGGTGGTGGTGGGGGTCTCAAGGCCACATGATTTCAGCCCTTTCTGGACCAGGGCGAAGGGGACATCTGCCAGCACTCCTCGGCCACTCACACACGTGGCCCTTTCCAGAGTCAGGGTTTTCAGTCCCACAGCAGCCCAGCTGGCACGATCGTGTTTCACAGCGGACGGCGCTGGGGCCGACTGAAGCAGAGCCATCTGTCCAAGGCCAGCATGCCTTGAGAGGCCGCTCCCCACCCCACCCCCTCCACACACACACACATACACACTCACAGCACTACAGCCCCCTGGAGACGTTGCCTTCATTTCCTAGGAGACCCCAGGGGCGGGCAGGCCAGCACTTACAGGACTGTGAAGCAACCACAGCCCCCAGTGGCAACGTGGAGTCCAGCCCAGAAGCACCCTCACTGACGCCTGAGAGCTACCCTGAGTCACCCGGCCTGCTGGCCTTGGGCCAGCGTCTCTCTAGCTTCAGACCAGGAAGATACAGGGAACTGGCCAAACTGGTGCCAGGGCCTGGGCCACGCTGTGCACGTGTAAGGACTGTGGGCAGGCAGACAGGCAGGAAGCCTGATAGGCTGCCAGTGCCCCGTGGCTGTCCCCGCAGGCGGGCAGCCACCAAGGAGACAAAACTCCACAGCCACACCTGACACCTGGTCCCTGGCCTCCGGCGTGTCGCGGCCTAGAAGGACCCAGGCTTATCCCTGGACAACTGGAGGTCTGCTGGTGCCCCTGTCGGGTCCCCCTGCCTTGTGCACTCAGGCCCTGGGCCCTGCATGAAACCCCAGGAGAGGCCCAGTTCTGAAGCCCTCAGCTGAGCCCCCACTAGCAGTCCTGGGGCGTCCTGCACAGTTAACGAGAGCAGCTGCTGAATCAAAGGCTGGAGGTTTGAGCCCACCCAGAGGTGCCTTGGAAGAAAGGCCTGGCAATCAGCACCAGCCAGTGAAAGTCCTGGGGAGCACAGCTCTGCCACGAGGCACTTGGGGCTCAGGCGATGAGGCTGACAAGGCGACTTCGTCACCAGTGAAACGTGACAGGCGGTGGCAGGGCGGGGCCGTCACTTCTGTGGATGAACTCTACCCTCTGCATCTTTGAAGGGTGACATGTAAGAACTGGCTCCCGTGCCAGCTCTGCCTACCCAGGAGCCTGACACTATCTCGGGAGCTGGAGATGCTCTCCTGGGCCCACAGGGCTCCCCTCAGCCACCAGGCCCCTTTGAGGGCCGTGCTCCCTGCCCCATGGCTGCGCCTTTTTTCAGCCTCTAAGGAGGTGAGCCTCGGCTCTCACAGCCCTGAGGAGCACCTGAGGTTCACCTGTTTTCTGGGCTCCGGAGAAGACGACGGGCCAGGCAGTGGCTTCCGCTAAGCTTGACAGCCTCATACTCTGAGTTAGCGCCGACTCGAAAGCAGTGGGTTGATTTGTTTTTTGTAACCTCCTGATTTACCCCCGTCTACCAAAGCAGCTGCGTTCCCACTGAAAGGTGCCCAGGACAGCAGTGACCAATGACACGTGAGCCTGAATGGCGGCTGGCAGTCCAATGCAAGAGGGAGGGCGGAGGACCACCCGCTTCTGCTGCCCCACGTCACAGGGTGGCTCTGAGGGCACACACGCAGAGCAGGGACAGCCATGCTCACCCAAGATGGGAGACTGCAGGGACCTCCCAGACTCCCACAACCACTCCCGCATGAGTTGGGGGCTGCAGGGATCCCCTAACTCCACAACCACTCCCACCTGAGATAGGGCTCCAGGGACACCCCCCCCCCCCAGGCCCCCATGTGATGGGCAGGTGAGCCCAACTGAGACCCCGCCTACTAACACCCCCAAATAACGTCTACTGGGCCCTCCCGACTCTGGGCTGCTCCAGTGCCATCTGCACAACTCCACGGTCCATCTTCTCTTACAGCCCCAAACCTGCTGCCCTGGAGCGACTCCGGCTCCCAGTGGCCCCGAGGGCCCTGGGCTGGACCACCATGGGAAGGAGCCTGGCAGCCCCGTGCAGGCACTGACTGGCTGGCTCGCAGCACGGCTGTTTGAGGTCTCGTGGCAGCGCAGCAGCAGGAAGGTCTGGCTGCCCTCTGGGGCAGCCCTGCTGTCCTGTGGGGTGGCTGAGAGTTAGCATCAACTCAATGGCACCGATGCTGCATCCACGGAGCAGACCGCCAGGCCTTTCTTCCGGCACCCCGAGGAGGTTAGCAGTCATCACAGGTGCTGGCCTTCCTCCAGGGCTTCTCCTCAGGACAGCCATCTGAGAAGAGGCCAGGGAGGCAGCTGCCACACCAGGACATGCTGGGGGGCCTCTCCCAGGCCGCTTCCTCTCTCTAGGCACATCCTGCCCGCTGGGGCGCACCCTCCAGGAAACACAGCTGTGGGGACATGCACAGCCGCCTGCCACACAGGCTTGTCAAAACTCGGAGGCCCCTAACCTTTCTCTGGGGTTCCCCACACAATGGCCCTTCTGTCTGGCTCCTTGGCGATCCCAGCCAATTGTCCCAGTAGCTGGCTTGCCTCATTGCTGCTGGGGCTGCCCACCCCCTGAACTCGAGGGTGCTGTGAGAGCGTACACGGAATAAAATGAGCGTGAAGACATGGTGACCCCTTGGGAGGGGTCATCCTTAAAGGAGGGTCTGGGCCCCGCTCTCTGTATGTTTTTGCCAAGCTGAAGGGCGGGTAGAGGAGGAGGCAGGCTGAGGAAGGAAGATGTCTTGCTGTGCTTTCTCGGTGGTTAGGTGCTTACCCCCCACCCCCTGCACTGGGAGGGGGCTAGGGTGGGAAGGACCAGGGCTGGGTGCTGGAGCTGCTGCTCCTGCACAGGCCCCAAGTCAGCCAGGACCGGTCCCAGACACGGTGGAGGCCCCAGGCTTTGCTGAGGCCAGTGCCATTTGGGTG